AGAGACACAGACACACACACACACAGAAGTTATAACAGCCACACACAAGACATACAACATAACACTCTCTGAGACCCTCAGCACCCAAAACCTGGACCGCCACAAAGACTGAACCCTTGAAAAGAACCCATAAGAATAAGACCCTGAACCCTTGAACCCTTAAAACCCCTGAGCCCTTATATAAGCCCTCGGAACCTTCAAGCCCAAGCTCACACTTACCTCTTATATAGAACTATCCTGAAAGCAAAGACCCTAGACAGCACCGAAGAGAGCTACTTGGAGCGAGTTACCACGAGAGTTACCACGAGAGGTTCCTTGAGAGAGGGGTAGAAAAGGGTGCTTTGAGTGCCGGAGACAGGAGAGTGTGTGTTACCTTGAGAGAAGGGAAACATGTTGTTTGCATGGGCCACAAGAGGGTGACCTGATGAGACAGAGCATGAACATGGTTAGCACCTAGAATAGTTTGTGCCCAGATGTGTTGTGATCATATGTAGGCATTTCATACATGTCTGGCGAATGTCATGTTTCCCATGATCAGCTTTTAGCCTTGAAACTCGCGAGTGTGTGTGTGTGTGTCTGTGCAGGAGTCAGAATATAACGGAACAAGTGTAGTCGATGGTAGCACGATGTGGCAAAAGTATCGTCAGCTTTCTGTGGGGCAGCACACATATCGAGTGTATGTATGTACGGTCTGCAGATACTTAGTTGTATACATATATATTTTTTGTGTTTCGCCGTACTTGCCATGTTGCTGAAGCAAGCATGTCGGTTTCGTTCGGTCGCCGACCCCTCTATGGGTGTCGGTGACTTGAAGCGGTGCTTGGAAGACTTCTTGAAGCACAAGGATGACGACAACTTAGGCAAGCTTCTCGAGAGTCCTACCGGATACTCTTGGAAAAGTGCCCCTTGTCCCAGATGGTTGTCTAAATCAGCTTTCCTGTGGAAGAGCTACCTGGCACTCGCTCCCAATGCAATGATCTCAGGGAAAAAAAATCGGGTCGCCCTGGCTAGGCTCCTGGACAACACGAAGGCCAACTGCACTAAGAAATCCGACAGTGATTGGATTGATGCCACTGACGAATTGATCAGAGTGGGGCTGAGCCATATCAGGAAACTGAAGCAGAGCGACCTGCTTCGCCAAAGGTGCTACAAGAAGGCTGATGCAAATCAACAGCAAGTCTTGGAAGAGCTTGTGCAGATGATTGTGCTCCTTCCGGGCGAGGAGGACGGTGCAGATGAGGATGGCGATGCGAGATCGAATCCGGCCTCGGCCACGACTCCTTCCTCATCGGCTACTCCTGCCTCACTGGCTGTTGTTCCTGCGGTTGCTGCTCCTCCTCTTCGCTCGATCAGCTCCAGCTTCGGGAGCCAGAAGACTTCGGACTTTCTGGACTCTGGGCGAAGAATTGCCAGAGTCCTGCAAGAAAGGACGTCTGTGTCATCCGTGGAGTCGCTTGAGGTAAGCCAGGAGGCGGATGATCGTGAGGGCAAGCAAAGCTCCCCTTTGAAGGTCAGCTTCATGGCTTCCTTGAACCTCATGGCTGAGCTGAGTGTGGGGGACAAGCGAATGCTGCAAGATGTTCAGGAGATTGGTCCAGCTCAGCTTCAGCCGAAGAAATCCAAGAAAAAGGCCAAGGCGAAGACCAAGGCAAAGGCGAAAGCTGCAGCCGCCTTCAAGAGAGATCTACTTTGAGTGTTCATGGAGAGCAGCCTTGAGAGCTACTTTGAGTGTTACCCTGAGTGTCACCTCGAGTGTGTTTTACCCTGAGTGTTACCTTGAGTGCTACCTTGAGTGCTACCTTGAGTGTTACCTTGAGTGCTACCTTGAGTGCTACCTTGAGTGCTATACCATGAGGGTTATACCTCGAGAGAGTTACCTTGAGAGATATGCCGACCTAAACCAAATAACCCCAAATCCTAACACTCTACAGCCCCAACACCCTAAAAGCTTTTACCCTCCGTCAGACTGTGCCATCGAAAACCCCGAAGCCGTAAAACTCTTCACCCTCTGTTTGATGCATGACACCCAGCCCAAGCTTCAGAGGGATTTCAGGATTTAGGGGAGCTGCCCTTGTTTCGTTGCCCCTAAACCCTAAGCCCTTAAATCCGAAACCCTGAAGCCCTAAAACCTTAAAGGGGTCGGCCAAAGGTTTGGGGTCTGGGGTCGCGGATTGAGGGCTCAAACTATCTATGTAAGTGTGTTTATCAGTTCTATTTGCAGATAGGTTTGGGGATGGTGATGCTTCAAGGATTCGGTTTGCAAATCGTTGGGATTTGGGGCTTTAGGGTTTAGAGTCTAGAGCTGTAGGGTTTAAGATTTTAGGGTTTAGGGCTTCAGGGTTTAGGGCTTTAGGGTTGAGGGTTCGGGGGTTTGGGGGTTTAGGGTTTGGGGGTTCGGGGGTTTAGGACTTTGGGGATTGGAGATTGGTGCGATTGTGATTTCAAGTTTGAGTCTTAGGGCTTTAGAGTTTACAGTAGAGGGCTTTGGGATTTGGGGCTTGAGAGTTTAGAGTCTAGAGGTTTAGGGTTTAAGATGTTTAGGGTTTTGGGGTTTAAGGTTTTAGGGTTTAGGGCTTTAGGGTTTGCGGCTTTAGGGTTGAGGGTTTGGGGGTTTGGGGGTCTAGGGTTTGCGGTTCGGGGGTTTAAGACTTTGGGGATTGGCGATTGGAGCGATTGTGATTTCAAGTTTGAGTTCTAGATCCATGCAAGGTGATTCTTGGGGTGGGTGGGGGGGTTTTATTTTGAGAATGGCTAGACCATGGGCAGCCACACAGGGTTCGAGTCCTGTTGTGCAAAGCAATGACAGTTGGCATATCATATTCTCCAGTCATATTATATAGGAGACTGCAAGACTTGTGGATCCTTCTAAATAACTACACTTGAAATCTCGTTCAATTTGTCCACTCGCCTCACAATACAGTGACCCTGACAAATCTCGTCTCCCCAAACCTAAACCTAAATCCAAGAAGCCATCTTTGTCTCTATAGCTCTGATTGCGGCCCACTCGTCCCGAGTACTATATTCAAGGCCACCAGCCCTGAGCCCTAAACCCTAAACTCTAAAGCCTCAAACCTATAGGACTTTGGAGCTCTGGTCCCACGGTAGGCTCAAAGTACTCTACATACAAGGTCCAACTCAACTTTAGCAAACGGGGACTGGTGCCGGAAGCAACAAACCCTAAAACCGGGGACTTTAGCTCCATCGAGTTTCACTTCGGAGCCATGGATGGCCAGCATCGTGTTTATATCCGAAACCTCAAATTCGAGGTTACAAAGACTGAGCTGGCCAGAGTATGCTGGGATGTTGGGGTGCAAGCTGTGCACGTGAATATCGTGCGGAAGGGCAACTATGGCAAGCAGAGGATGTGCAGTGCTTTCGTGGAGGTGTTCAGCAGTGGTGATGTGGCCTGGTTGTGCCATAGGCTGAATGGGCTTCACGACTTCCGTGTGGCCGATGTCCCTCTTCTGGTGGAGGCTGCTGATCCGAGACGTGCAGGCAAGGGGGTGCCTGGTGCAAAGGCACCAGCACCAGCAATGTGGAAGGGTGCAGCACCAGCACCGAAGGCACCAGCACCAGCACCGAAGGCACCAGCACCAGCACCGAAGGCACCAGCACCAGCAATGTGGAAGGGTGCAGCACCAGCACCGAAAGCACAAGCAGCGGCAGCAGCAGGAGCAGTCGCGAGTCCCACGTCTCCTGCAGATGCTGACAGCTCTGGTTCCGAGTCGGCTCGTGGTGCTTCCTCTGCGAAAAGCTCTGGTTCCGAGTCGGCTCGTGGTGCTTCCGATGCGAGAAGCTCTGGTTCCGAGGCTCGTGGTGCTTCCGATGCGAAAGGCTCTGGTTCCGAGTCGGCTAGTCGTGGTGCTTCCGATGATAGGAAAGGCTCTGGTTCCAAGTCGGCTCGTGGTGCTTCTGATGCGAAAGGCTCTGATACCGAGCCGCCGTCGCCTGTGCCCAGGGTCGTGGTGGCTCGCTATGCGAAAAAGCGGAAGCAGGAGTACACTCCGACGGAGCCTGGAGATGTGGAGCCCGATGTTAAATCGGAGACTGGGAAGCCTTCGTGGCCTGCAAGGACATCCTGTCGAAGCTTTCGCCCCGGGTCTTTTTTCGAGGACAGAGGCCAGGATTGAAAAATATGACACACAATATCCCGCCCTAGACCATAAGCTTGAAAACCCTGAGCCCTAAACCATCCATTCAAGCGAATATACAAGCCCCAATCCTTAAACCCAGTGTGTCTCAACTAGACCTGAACCCTAAACCCCGAATCCCTAAACCCTAAGTCTCGAAACCCCAAAGCCCTAAACCCTAGAATTTGTTTTGGCATTGGGCGGTTTAGAGGCTGTGTACATGACTGTGACTTCGTGCTTCGTCGTTGCTTTCAAACAATATCGGCTTAGGGCTTAGGGGCTTTGGGTTTAGGGCTTAGGGGTTTAGGGCTCCGGGTTTCGAGGTTTAGGGCCTTGAGTTTGGGGTTTAGGGATTTAGGGTTTAGGGATTAGGTGTTTAGGGTTTAGTGTACACTGTTTAGATAGAGGTCGGGTTTGCTTCGGCGGGTACAAGGTCTGTCCCCACCTCAGAACGAACCCGGCCTAAGAGACCCCGTATATGTATCGATTTTGAAGTGCCCGTCTCAATCCTACCACAGAAGACCCTCTAGGGTTTAGGGTTGTAGGGTTTCACGACACCACAAAAGCCCTATCGCCCCAAACTCCCAAACAAATCCTGCCCCAGAACCCAAACCCCCCAACTACCCCAGAACCCAAACCCCCAAACCCGCACAGGTTTTCGCTGCGATCGGTGCACAGCTTCCCTGGAGAGAATCCACAGAGCGAGTTCCCAGAGGGTTGAAAACAAAGAGTGCTACCGTGGAGACATGTGTTCCGTGTGGCTTCGACTACTAAGTCACGGCAAGAAACCATAGGAGTAATCAGGAGTATGGTGGTTGGGCAACAACATTTAGCTCAATAGTCTAGCAAACTTTTACCCTACACTCTAGCAGTTTACTAGAAATTTCCATCAAACTTCTAGGGGCAGCAGTAGCAGTTTAGTAGAAGTTTATAGGAAACTTCCACTCGCGACCTTAGCAGTTTAGTAGAAATTTCCACTAAACTTCCACTCGCCATTAGCAGTCCATTAGCAGTTTGGCCGGTTAGCATTAGCAGTTTTAAGTTATACATATACGGTATTTCCCAGGGATTATTGCTCAATGAGCTGAAACTGCTAACAAACTGCTTCCCAAACTACTACCCAACTGCTAGCAAACTTCCCCCAAAGTGCTAGTAGCAGTTTTGTGGAAACTTCTATCAAACTTCCACTGTGGTGGCTGTAGTCCTCTCATCCAGCTGCATCGGTGCAGTAGCTTTTCTTGCCGTGCTTCGTGTCTTAGCGACCTTTGAAGTGATGGCTTTGTCGAAGATGTTGAAGCGGCCGGCAGCGGTCGTGCCCAAGGCAAAAGCCACGTCGAAGAGCAAAGTCGGCAACGGCTCCGAGGAGGATCCCAATTCCAAGAAGGGATCCATGAATGATTCCATCAAGCGAATGAAGAGCTCGGCCTGCCTCGCCATCAAAGACGGGGAGGAGGAGGCCGGCGATGAAGGCATGGAAGTGGATGATGAAGAGGGCGACGATGCCTTCGTTGCCCGCGACAAGGGCTTTGCCTTGAAATTCCAGAGGATGAAGAAGGACCTTCCGGGGTACGTGGTCGATCTGATCGAGAATCAATCGTCCAAAGCTGCCCATCCCAGGGATTTCAAAAGCCGCATGATCAACAAGCTCTTCAAGCGAGAATCTTGGAACATTTTCCGAGCATAATCTTTCCATTCTTGGGGTACCAGCACTACCACCAGAACCACCATATTACTATGCTACCACAACTGGTAGTACTGGGAGCATATTTATAGCAGTAGTACTAGTATAGTAGTAGTAGTAGTAGTAGTAGTAGTAGTAGTAGTAGTGGTAGTAGTAGTAGTCGTCGTAGTATAGTAGTTAAGTCGTATACTATTATGCATAACTGCTTAGCCGTCGTAAAGTACTCTAGAACCAGAACGATTGCATACTGCTGTGCCACACCTTTGAATACTATGTACTATAAATTCCGGAGTTTCATCATATAGGACGACTAAGGGTTTTTATTGTTTGTTCGGCTTGGTCGTTTCCTGCTCTTGTCTTGTGCGATATCTTTGTATTCCACACAGCAAGGACAGCTCTGGAAAAACCCACCTCAACTTAAACGAGGCCTGCTTTAAGGAGCACAAGAAGCTGTTCAACGAGAACTTCAGCAAGAGCTCCGAGATCGCCTACCCCGAGTCGATCTTCAAGGGCATGTTCTATGCCGGCAATGACGATAAGTTCGAGGCTGCCTTGGCAAAGGGAGAGATTTGCGAGGCAAAGAGCACGATCCCGGGAGTGAGGTTTTTCAGCTTCAAGACCTTCAAGGCTGTGCAGAAGACTGGAAGCCGCGAGGAGGAGGAGCTCACCTCCAGCGGCAAGGTCACGAAGGAGCAGGCCCAGCTCATGTCGGAGTGTTTCGCCAAAATGGGCTGGAAGATCAAGCACACGGCCGACGACACGAGGAAGTTTGCCAAGGGCGGAACCGTCCCGACGAACATCGAGACGGTGCTTGGGACGGCGATGGAGGCCCAGCAGAAGCTGGCGAAGGATGCGATGACTCTCTTGAGAAAGTGGGGACGAGAGGACTCCACTGCAAAAAATCTCAAGAGCAAGCATAAGCAGAGCCAGGAGTTCATGGTCAAGCTGGAGCACATCAAGCAGTTCCGCGAGCTCCCGGACGACGAGGAGATGAACAAGGCCAATTTCGACAAGTTCTTGATGCAGGTCGCCGAGCACACGGAGGAGTTCAATGTGCTGGTTGAAAGCAGCAAGGGAGCGATGAGAGCGAAAAGCAATTGATACATCTTAGATGTCATCAAGAGCATCAGATTTCATGATGAGGATCGTATGATCGGCTTGAGCTGACCGGCTATGTAGCTTAGGCTTCTATACACTGCTGCATCTGCTGTGTGTGCCGCCGACAAACCTCTTGCCACCACCGGAGATACACGATAGCTGCTGGCTGCTTTTTGAGGGGGGCCACGAAAGGCGAAACATCAAAAGTAGCACAGGGCATAAAGGGCCTGATAAGGGTTTAGGGTTGAGGGTTTAGGGTTTAGATAGACAGTTTTTTTCGATCTTCCTAGCTGCTTTGATAGGCAGTTTGTGTTCGAACTTCCTATAGCTGTATACTATAGCTGCTTTGATACACAGCTTTTGGTCGATCTTGACACTGGCCCCCCTGTGCAGCTGTGCATGCTATATGCACCCGTCGAGGAAAGTCTCGCTCGAACCGAAGCACTCTAGAGGAAATGTCGTTCTGGGCGCTTTTTCCCTAAACCCTAAACCCTGAACCCTAAACCCTAAACCCTAAACCCTAAACCCTAAACCCTAAACCCTAAACCCTAAACCCCTAAACCACCCGACTATCTTTATCAAAGCCCAATCAACCCGATTATCTTTGTGTACAAGGCCTCCCAACCCGATTATCGTTATATATTTCAAAGCCCAAATAACCCGACTATCTCTATATAAGCCCAAACAACCCGAGTATCTTTATCAAAACCCAAACAACCCGACTATGTTTATGTGTGCCCAAACCACCTCTGGGCCCCGAACCTTCAGTTGGAGAGCTTCTTTATGAAAACCCCAACCACCCTGGACCCGGAAACTTCACGTGGGAAGCTACTGTGAGAGTTCAGCGAGAGGGCTACTGTGAGAGGTACTGTGAGGTTCACCGAGAGGGCTACTGTGAGAGGATTTTGCTCGGAGAGTTTACCCTGAGGGCTGCCAGGAGAGCTAGTGTGCAGAGGGCCCAGTGAAGAAGTGTATTCCATAGTGTTTCATAAGCCTTAGAATATAGATGATCTCTAGACCCATCCACCCAAAAACTTATAAACCCCAAGATGTATAGCGAGAACCACAAAACAAAATCCTAGATCCCAACACAAAGCGCCCAGGAACTCCTTCCCTCTGCACCCCGTTTCTATAGTCCCACCTGCACCCTAAGCCATAGCCATAAAATCACAAATACACCCATGACTGAGCTTTCATCCCCTATATTGTTGATTACTTATATATTGCCCCAACTCCAACCACTAGTCCCACCTGCACCCTAATCCCAAGAGCCATAAAACCAGAAATACACCCATGACTGAGCTTTCATCCCTGATATTGTTGATTACATGTGCTTATACATTGCCCAAGTCCAACCACTATAGTCCCACCTGCACCCTAAGCCATAGCCATAAAACCACAAATACACCCATGACTGAGCTTTCATCCCTTATTTTTGAGTACACGTGCTTATACATTGCCCCAACCCCAACCACTATATAGTCCCACCTGCACCCTAAGCCATAGCCATAAAACCAGAAATACACCCATGACTGAGCCTTCATCCTTTATTTTTGATTACATGTGCTTATACATTGCCCCAACTCCAACCACGAACACTCAACCTCCCAACACCCGGATACAATGAAACCTCACCCTCCCACCAAAACTTATAACTAACCAACCAACTCGAGAGCTCGAAAGCACCTTGGAATCCAGGCCAATTGAGATGTTTAGAAAACACCGCAACCTTAATGACAGAACTTCCCAGCCTACAACTTCTATATAATGTGAACATGACATTCATAAATGTCATATACAGACTCTTTTGGGATAGACCCTGCACCTTAAGACCTGAAGTCTGAAACCAATGAGCCGAACCCGAACTCCTGTAGTGACCCTCAAACCCTGAAAACCCCACAGCCTCAGCTCTCTATAAACCCCCAAACACTAAACCCCCCAAGCCCCAGAAACCCTCCTGAATCCAAATCCACAAAACCCCTAAACCCCTAAACCGGCTCCAGCAGCTCTGATGAGCTGGGGTCGAGCGGTTTCGGGCTGCTTTGGAGTCTTTGTTGCAGGGGTCTCTAGGGCTTTGAAGGAATTTTGTATAGGGGTCAATAAAGGTTCGCAAGGGTTTGTGGGTTTAGGAACAAGAGTTCGCATATAAGGGGGTGTGTGAGGGTTCAAAAGGGTTTCTATATATACAAGGGTGAGACCACCATTATGTGTGTAGAGTCGAATTATAGGGTTTCGGGATAGGGTTGTGGGGTAGGGTGTATAGCTGGGACCATTGATTGAAGGTTGGAGCTGACCCGAAACCCTGACATCCCAAACCATATATAAGGCCTAGACCTTAAACTTTATGCTCAAACCCAAACCCCAACACCCGGCAAAGACCCCCCAAAAAAAAACCCGTTGCCCGTCATCACATGAACCTCAAGTGTACCCCCTCAAGGGGTGCCACACAGTATAGACCACTGCACACAGTCAAGGTTTTGAACCATTGTTCATTGTCATGCTATGCTCTCATCGTGGACCCTCACAATGTAGACTATCATGGTATGCCCTCATGGTGGACCCTCTTATGGTTGACTCTCAAAGTACACTCTCATGGTATCTACTCTCATGGTATCCTCTCATGGTTGACTCTCAAAGTACAATCTCATGGTATATACTCTCATGGTATCCTCTCATGGTTGACTCTCAAAGTATACACACTCATGGTATATACTCTCATGGCATCCTCTCATGGTTGACTCTCAAAGTACACTCTCATGGTATACACACTCTCCTGGTAGACCCTATTTAGAGTTGTCCCTATGTCTACATACACAGAGGTAGGTCCTGCACTTATCACTGTCAATGGCTGCTCCTCCGGAAAAAAAACGAAAAGGTGGGATCAGGCAACGACTGCAACAACAAAGAGAGGACACAGCTGTAACCTCGGAGCTTGCCGCTTATCTGCTGGAAGAATGCTTCTGGGGAGCTATGTCGGCACAACAGGTGCAAAGGATAGCCTCGTTGGCATTGAAGGATGCAGAAAAAATAAAGGACAGCGGCGACTTCCCTCATGATCTTCAGGTTTTGGGAAGCTTGGGTACAAATGGTTTATATTCCAACAAGATGTGGGGCGATTTGGTTCGACACATCTCTCCCAATGTCAAGCTTGCACAGCCTCAGATGGTAAAGATTCCTTGCAAGGCAGGGTTGGCGACCCAGCCGATCATGTTGCCTCATGAACTTCTGGCCGACATCTACGAAAAGTTTCCGGCTGTTTGGGTTCAGGTTGTGAAGCCGTCGGATAGCCGAGCCGAGCAGTTTTGGTCATCCGTGCAGGGGCATCCGGCACTCGAGTCAAGCCCAATTCTTTCTCGGGCAAATTATCGGAAGCTTTGCTTGCCACTTGCCGTCCACGGCGATGCCGTACCCATCACGGGGGTGGGTAAGGGTTGGTGTCAGCAGCTGACGGACCTATCCTTCATGTGCCTTTTGGGACTTGGCTCTGTAAAAGAGCTGCTGTTTTACATGGGCGGTTTTTGGGAAAAGCTTCGAGTCATGTCAAATGACATGAATGGAACTGCCCACAAGTTCTTGGCAGTGTTGGCTTGGTCCTTTGGCATCCTGTGGGAAGGTGTTTGGCCAACAAGAGACTTTTCAGGCAAGAAGTGTCTTGGAGGGATTTGTGAACCTTTTTTTCTTTCTTCCCACAAAGCCTAAGCCCTTCCTGTTTATAAGGCCTGGGCCAGAAATTCAAGGTACCCGGCAGGGAGTAAGGAAGCTCGCAGAGCTGGACAGCCTTTGTTGGGCGGGCATTTCGCATGCCTTTTCTCCTTGCAAGGCGATTTGGATTACTATGCAGGAGTGCTGGATCTTCCGAGAAGTAGATTGGCCTCGGGGCCGTGTGCCCTATGTCGCTGTACCAAGGTAGGCCCACATTCGTGGCAAGACTTTCGGCCAGAGGCGGCATGGAGGGGCACATGCTGGAAAGCTTCCGAATGGAAGATGTGGTCTGACAGATCATCTTGCCCGCTGCTACGTCTTGCGACCACCAGCTGCTGGACTGTAGGGCTGGACTGGTTACACGTGAAGTACCTCGGGATGGATCAACTTTTATATGCAAGCATCATCTACATGCTGGTTTTTTTCATCCTTCCCGGAACACCGGAGGCCAACATGGCTTCATTCTGGCAGGCCCTGCAGCAACAGTACTCGGCTTTGGATACTCCCTGCCGCTACAGGTACTTAAACAAGCTGAGCATGATCGTACGAAAGAGGGGGAGCCCCAAATTACGGGGAAAAGGGGCAGAAATACGACACCTTCATCTGCCTCTTCTCAACATTTGGGCGGCCAACATGAATCCGGGTTTGGAAGTACATCGCAAAGTTCACCTGCTGCTTAAACTGAATGCCAGAGCAGAGCAGCTCTTAACTGAGCACCGTGAGCTTTTTGCATTTCCCCCGGCAGATGCAACGACGTTTGAGACCTGTATCGATGGACTTCTCATGCTGCAGCACAACCTACGAGAGCATTTTCAGGAGGAGCCTGGAGGCCTTTTCAACATTACTGAAAAAGCTCATTTTGTGCAGCATTGCTCCATTCTGGCTCGCCATGTTTCGCCACGACTGCTGTGGTGCTTTTCAGGAGAGGACCAACAACGACGAGTGCAGGAACTCACACAAGCATCAGTGAAGGGGAACGGCCCTGCTTCTGCTCTTCTCAAGGTTGCAACCAGATACAGATTGGCTCTGCACCTTCAGTTTCACAAAATCGAAGCCCGAAGGGCCTGAAAAAAAAGAAGAGATGTGAGTGTGTAAGACTGGACCGAGAGCCCCGAGCTTCTGAAGCCCAACCTTGAATCTCAACCTAAACTGTAGGGTTTAGGGTTTAGGGTTTAGGGTTTAGGGTTTCCCTAAACCCTAAACCCTAAACCCTAAACCCTGCCTGCCCTAGTGGGCTCTCCTGCGGACACGGTACCGTGGGGAAAAGGCCCCCCCCAAAAAAAAAAACCCTAAACCCTACACCCTGTATAAATAAACCCTGAACCCAAAAGCCAAACCCAAACTTTATAATATCAATCTATACATAGACTGCCAACCCTACACCCTGTATATAAACCCTGAACCCAAAAGCCAAACCAAACCAACACAAAACAGCCACAAACACAACACCAACAAACACACACACACACACACACACACACACACACACACAAACACACACACACAAACACACACACACAAACACACACACACACAAACACACACAAAAACACACACACACACACACAAACA